ATATAATATTAAATAAATAATCTTCAATGTGCTACATCGAATAAACGAATTTTTCTTTTATTACGATTTTTATTAACATATTTTTAGTTATTTTCTATTGCATAATATAAAATAACTTATCAAATGGTGAATTTAGGTTTTTTCTTCGAATGTTATTACTAACATATGCATTGAACCAAGGGATCTAAAAGGATAAACATGAAAAATAATTATATGGTTAAATCTACAAAAATTTTATGAAATTAATTTATTAATAATATTTTTATAATTATTTAAAACATATAATTTCATTAGTTAAATAAAATATTTCTGAACTTAATAAATGATAAATGTTATTACAATAGGAAAAGTTATCATATATATAAGAGTGAATGGAGATTAAATGGACAGTGGTATTTTATAAAACATATTATAAATTTACAACGGATACAATTCTTATATTCTACATTTAAATTGATTCTGCTTTATCATGAAAACATTCTTTGCACCATATTTTATTAGTAATATTAACACCTCCAAATTGTTCACTACATTGCAAACGTTTATTACAAAGGGACATATATTTTTCTGCTAGCGCAAAGCTTCTATAAATTAAATATTAAAATTTTTATTTTTCATAATAATAATATTCAATGTATTATTTAAAAATTAAAATAAAATAACTTCGATTATTTTGTTACACTGTTAAATAAGTTGATGTAATATTTCCAATAAAGTACATTTTTTATATTTATTATTATATTTCAAAGAAACACTACAATACTATGTAATTAAATCTTTTAATTTTCGTAACAATAAAATTTGAAAAGCACATAAATACATTTATTTTCATTAAAAATATATAAAAATGTATATTCAATCACTGAATTACTCTCAAAAAAAATTATTATTAAAAATTAACTTAAATGACGATAATATAGGTCTAAATATTTTAATCAAGATGAATATTTGAATAATTCTCCATACTATGAAGTAATTATGTTCCTATTTTATACCCTTTCACATAATTGTGTTCAAATGATTCCATTTATATAAATGGTGGTGTTGGAAATAACACAATTTCAGTGCATATCATTGATATAAAATTTTTATTTTGAAAAAATATAAATTATAGAAATATATAGTGAAACTATACTTGATATCACAACCAATATAACTCTTATACAAATTTTTACTCATCTATATCACTACAATATGAGAAACATTAAAAATCATATGTTAAGAAAATAAGCCAATTCAAAAGGTTTTACATATAATCCGTGTAATAAATAAAATTTCAAATAATTAAAATTATGTATTTCGTATATTTTGCTATTTGTCCTACAGAAAATGAGAAACAGAATAGTTATTCTTCAATTTTTCGTAAAAAATTATCATACATTTATGAGTTATATATGATATTCTAATTTTATTATGTAACATATATTGAATAAATTTATTACATTGTACACTGCTAATTGTGAGTAAACTGATATCATATTTACTATTCATAATTATGAATCGTATTCGGATGTTCTTTACAAATATTAAAAGTTTTGGTGTTATGTTAAGTAAAATACTTCATAACAATACACAAACTATTATATTTTGGTTTAATAATTGAATTAACTTATTTTTCCTTCAGTATTAATTTTTTTAATCAGGGAAAAATATCATAAAGAAAAGCAAAAGTTAGGGAAAATACTAGAACATTTTTTTTATTTTTATAAAATTATCGAATGTATATCAGGGAAAATCGAATTTAAATAATAAGACGTACATAAATTTATTTAAAACAAACATTAAGGAGAGAATTTATATTCAGTTTATTTTATGCCATCCTAACATGTGTTATTATATAGAATCTAAATAAAACGTTTCTTTTTGTGTATGAAGATATATATACCTGAAAAATAGTGCTATATATTAAATGGTTTCTTCCTTTTTGATAGTATATAAATTTTATAATGTAAATAAATATTTATTCGTTCGATACATTATTTAAGAATAAAGCATGACTATAATAAAATAATAATACAAATATCTTACTTAATGAACAAGTTAATTTATTAAAAAAATAAAGTAATATTTAGAATAACAACACTGAAAAGGTCAATAGTATTGTAATATGATTCCGGGTATAATTATTTTTATGTAAAGGACATGCTACTTAAATATATTATTTGTAATTTATTTAACTAGAATGTATACTTCATTTTGTAATTTATTTACTCACAATTTTTTTTTAAAAGGTCTTTGTAAAATTAAGGCTTTCTTACGGATAAGCATAGACGCTGTCTTTTAGAAAACAATAACATAATGCTGAAACGTTAACCAATATAATAACGGAGACAGATATATTTCACACTCATATACAGTAAAATTTATAAAAGGAATTTTTATTGGATCAAAGGCCAACGAATATATTTTGAAATACAAATGATATTTAATATATGCCAGACTAAGCACGCTCGAATCGTGAAACAAGTTAAAAATTGATTTTTAATACAGTAAAAATATATTTTAAGCTCTAAGTAAAATATAGATAATGAAGTATTTAATACATATATTTTTAGTATTAATTCATTGTGAATAACTAAATTATCTGTGAAAAATTTACATTTATGTGCTACCCCATTATGGGCATAAAAAAATGAATGATGTGTCCATATTATTGTAAATATGTATAAGAAAAACAATTTGTATTTTTTCCTTTTATTCATGATGCTAACCCAATAATACATAAAACAATTAAATCAAAGTATTCTATAATAAAATTATTGCATTACCATTTTATATGTATTAACATATATGATATTTAAACAGATACATGAAAAATATAATTCTCTATTTAAAATCAGAAAAAACAATTATTTCATTCATATGTATAAGTGGAAAAAAATATATTATTTTTTATCAAGAACCTATACGCAGAAGAAAATATGAGAAAGTTAATTTTTTTTTATATTATATTTTTGTTATTCCTTGTAAATTTGAATGATAAAGTTTTCCACTAATAAAATGTGATTTTTTGAATGAACACTGTTTTTATCTTTGAGAGTAAAAAATTACGTAATTATTTTTTATGTTTATTATATTTTTTGATAAAATAAGATTTTAGAGGAATAGGTATTATACAATTAAAAATATAGTATTGTTATATATATCTTTTTAATCTGATAATTTTTTTTTTTAATTAAAACGTTTAGGTTATAAGAAACATATTTAGTTCTAGCTTTAACCCAGGCGTCCGCTGATATTACATATGTGTATGCCCTAAGTAAGGTT